TTAAATGGAAAATCTAAAAAAAATCCAACGAAAAATTCTCACCAATTTCACCAACCAGACTCATTATGCAAATTTCGAGTAGCCAGCTGCATATGTCTTAGCTTCTTCAACGTGGCAACTAGTTAATATTTCTAATTCTTGTTGCCGTCTTCTTTCTCCCTTTCTCTCAAGTCAAGTTTAATTATTTTTAATCACTTATTTATGATGATTAGCAATTTGGCAAAAGCATAAAAAAGCTAACACCCAAAATTCACAAGCAAAATTTACCAAGTAAAGGGTAGATACGAGGGATTGCCTTGCGTTTTGTCTGCTAATTGTATTTCAATGTCCATTTGTGTGCTCTATTTTATATTTCGTAAGAGCAGATGAAACTTTGCAACAAAACATCTTGAGTTTTTCAAAACTTTCTTAGCGCTCTTAAAGTACAATTAAAATGCAATTTACTGCAGCGCAGCAGCACTTTGGGCAGCTGTGTTTGATACGACACGAGAAGTATATATATGCAAAGTAGGTAGGTACCATCTGAAATTTGTCTGGAAGTGTAAATTGTTTGGCCTGCTACTGGCCGGACAACAAGTTTCTTCGCTTTGCGTTTAGTTTTCTACAATTATTGCTTTACCCTCTAATTTAGACCAAGTTCTTCTGCCCTCAAGCACTTTAACCTTGCAGTATTTTATTAATTTAAATATTAACTACTCTTTCTCTATGCACTTTGGCACTAATTTGCATAAGCAAAAAAAAAAACTAACCCTTTCACATTGTGCGGCTGCAGCTTCTTAACTTGGCCAATTTCCATAGTTTACCATTTCGTGTATTAGCCATTGCAGACTTAACAGCTAATATCCGCTCGCTTGGCAGTAGAGGAGCTGAGAGGAAAAGTGAAGTAAAATGAAGAAGTAGAAACCTTTGCTGCATTTCATTAACACTCAGCGCATATTTGGCTTTCACACTTTTCCACACGCCACATGAAAATATTTGTTGCTACTTGCAGTGCACCTAAGTTGCCATTTTCCATGAAAAAAGTTCGAGAGATGCGAATATTTGAAAATTGTAAACTACACTACAAACTTTGTTAGGGATTAAAATGTAAAGTGCAAACAGTGTTACTGCGAAAGTCGACGCCATGGCGTATGCGTAATGTAAGCACTCCAAACCAGTTGGCAGCTGCACTGAATGACCATACAGCTATGTAGCTGCTTTTGCACCACATTGCCACTTACATTTGTGCTCAGCATGCTCTTATCGTCTTGCAATACAGCCGCATTGTGTATGAAATGAATATTTGCAAACTCCTCAGCCCTTTCCACGATTATACCTCCAAAATGTTACCAAGTAACTACTACAATATTTGTTTGTTGGCTTGTTGCAGCATTGTATTGTATTTGTTTACTTTATTGTAAGGGTACATTTGGGTGTTGGAAAACTTTCTGTTCGTATTTGCATAAATTTCTGTTTGGCATTTTTTGTAATCACCTTTGCACACCGTAACTCGATATTGAAATGAACTTTCTGCACTTGGCAGTTGGACATACTAAGACACGTTAGCAAGTTTTCGAAAGTATTCCCAATTTTGGTATTTTTGTTTGTTGAAGTTAGGGAAATGTGGTTCTTAGTAATAGTGTGGGTAGGTTGGTCTCATCTCTAGAAAAGTAATGCACTATGACTGGGGCAGCATTCTGATTAAACGAGTAGCTTTTTACAAACTACGAGGTAAGGCTACAATTTTTTTTCGGTGAAAAAGTGACAAACAAAATATATCACTAAAACCGCGACTAAAGCAGATTGTTTTAAAGCTTACGAAGTGGCAGTTAGTGTATGGCTTAATGCAAACCTTACAACCAGCATGAAAAGTGACAATCCAAATGGAGATTTGAGGTATTGAATCTAGTCCTGACGGTTTCCGTGTGAAATTTGTTTTCAAAATACTACCGAGTATTATTTCAAAAAATTGTTGGTGCACAGTGTGTCTAAATTAAATATTATTAGCTCTGGAACTAACACAACTGGATGTGTACCTATATAGGATGCGGAAAATACAGTCAACATTTGAACTCATTATCAAGAAAAGCCATATTCATAGCTGCAACTCTTTTCGTGAAATATTAAAAGCATAGTTTGAGAAATAAAGCGATGGATTCCAACCGCTTCTCAGAAACTCTGGAAGATACTTTTGGATCGTAAATTCCATATTATGGCGCAAGACCTAAGACATAGCCCCTTTGCGGCTGCAGTTGAGAGTATACCCACAGTAAGGCATATTTGGTTTAAATATCAAAAAATAAAAAATCTTAAAGTGAGTGGACTGAAAGCAACTGAAGCACAAGAATCCCAAGCAGAGGAGCGGAAAAAAGATTTCAACACTCCACCCGATAGATGGTTCGAAATTCGACGGTAAGATAAGAGGGGGCATTTCTTATGAAACCCTCCTCTAAAAATCTCTTATAGGTTACCGGACTATTTCAGCATACTTCAAGCTGAAGTTTCAGGTATCATGGAAGCTGCTGAAAATCTTGGAACCGAAATGATGGAAAGCGACGTCTTCATTTTTAGTGATAGCCAGGCTGCAATCACGCTTTTGCGCTGGACTGTCGCCTATCTCTGCAGGAGAAGGCCAAGCAGAACAGACAACACAGACAACGACTTGTCGAATTTCCAGGCAGACTTGGCCTAAATGGAACCGGAAGCGGTCACTAAGTTTATACTCTTTTAGAAGGGAGGATATGTCTAACATCCTGGGGGCTCTAAGCGGGCACTGTCTAATAGTTAAGCATGCAGAAAAGCTCAGTGCCTTTCCGAATATGTTGCAGAAACTGCAAGGACGACGAAGAAGAGGAAATCGATGGCTGAGTGGAAGATCGACCTATCTCGGCTGCCAGTTCGAAAACGCTCTATCTCAAAAAACTTTTCAAGAACGCCCTATTTCAGAATTTTATTGAAAAACACCCTATCTCAAAATTCGGTTCAAAAATGCCCTATCTCACTTCAAAATGTATTGAAAATATGCTGTTATAGGGCGTTTTTGAATCGGCAGCTGAGATAGGGCATTTTTCAAACGAATTCTGAAATAGAGCGTTCTTGAAAAGTTTTTTGAGATAGAATGTTTTCGAACTGGCTGCCGAGATAGGTCGATCTTCCACTCAGCCATCGAAATAGTCTTGCATCTCTTGTGTAAATTCCCTGCAATGTGTAGAAGTAGGCTGCGTAATCTGGGTTCCTTAGGGAGGTTTCAAATACTGCCGTGGTTCAACAGGGAGTATAAGTCCTCGACCAGACGCCCATTTTGGAGGAAAGCGGCGAGGTAGTACCAATCTACATTTCTTTATAATCGGACGTGAACTATTCGGTAGCAAAAATGGTGCAGCTCGCTGTCAATGACTCACCGATACCGGCGAGGGTTCTCTTTTTCATTAAATTTTCTTCTGTTGTCGGCAGAACCCATCATGTTTGTGCATGTGGCAGTCGGCGCATTGCGGCGGGGTTACAATTTCAGAAAAGTTTGGCCTTTAGTGGCCGTAGTGATATTCCAGTCATCTGGACAATAATACATGAGAAGGAAAACTGTGGCTTTGCTCACTACTGAGCACCACCGCTTCGACCGGGGATCACCGAAGAAATAAAATACTGCAAGGGCCATCTCATCCATAGCGTTATTGCCTCCGGTACTGCGGACAATGCCTGTGGGTACGAAGAGATAAATGCTCTCTCAGGCGAACTCGGATGGGCTGAAAGTGGTGAAGCTGCGAGTCCTGTGTTGAATGGCGAACAAACTATACTATTTACAGTGAAGAGTGTGCCTCCCAAGGAGGGCGCAATAGTCAACATTTTTCAGAATACTTCCTTTGAAAGTTTAAAATTGTAAGGGTGTTTTTAAACTTATTTAGAACTGGGGATGTAAATTTAAAATCTGATATTATTTCGACGATAAACTTCCATTTTCAACCAAGCTGTGTACAAAATTTCGGCTTAGTTTGCATAGTAGATATGAAGCTTTATAATTCAACAAGCAACGCTACTTCTACAAAAAATGCCACCACGGGAAAAAAAACGAAAAATATTTTGCAGCTCAAAATAAAGGCCATGTGTACCTCGCTTAAGTGCCCAACCAGGATAAANATGGGCTGAAAGTGGTGAAGCTGCGAGTCCTGTGTTGAATGGCGAACAAACTATACTATTTACAGTGAAGAGTGTGCCTCCCAAGGAGGGCGCAATAGTCAACATTTTTCAGAAAACTTCCTTTGAAAGTTTAAAATTGTAAGGGTGTTTTTAAACTTATTTAGAACTGGGGATGTAAATTAAAAATCTGATATTATTTCGACGATAAACTTCCATTTTCAACCAAGCTGTGTACAAAATTTCGGCTTAGTTTGCATAGTAGATATGAAGCTTTACAATTCAACAAGCTACGCTACTTCTACAAAAAATGCCACCGCGGGAAAAAAAAACGAAAAATATTTTGCAGCTCAAAATAAAGGCCATGTGTACCTCCCTTAAGTGCCCAACCAGGATAAGTATGTAAAAACCTCAGGAAGTTTGTATTTTCGGCCAAGGTACTAAGATGGATTTTGCAGAGTTTAAATATTAAAAATTGTACTTGATATTTTACTCTTCTTTTTAATTCAACTTTGAAAGTCCATATATCAACACCAGCGCTTGAGTAAGTAAACTTGAAAATAATCTAATTTTTTAATATAAATTCTGTGCCTCATAAATGCTTCTAGTATATATTTCTACCCTGAATAGGAATAGATAAGCTCTCTAAACTCTTTTAAGTAATATTTTTTTATCGCCTACTTGAGCTCATGCACTCTACAGCTCCACATCATGNGATATTTTACTCTTCTTTTTAATTCAACTTTGAAAGTCCATATATCAACATCAGCGCCTAGGTAAGTAAAATTTTAAATAATCTAATTTTTTAATATAAATTCTGTGCCTCATAAATGCTTATAGTATATATGTATTTCTACCCTGAATAGGAATAGATAAGCTCTCTAAACTTTTTTAAGTAATATTTTTTATCGCCAACTTGAGCTCATACTCTTTACAGCTCCACAGCATACAATTCTAATTTTTTCTCCAACACTTCCACCATCTTGCCATTATGTTTGATGGTACGCAGCCACTGTACGTAATCAGAAGGCAGGCGCGTCTCCACAGCGCCTTTCAAAATAGTTTTCAGATACGTTTTCGATGGCTGTCGATCGTAGGGTATCTCCTCGTCTTTTATGCTTCTCACATCTCCTGTTGGTTGTGTTGTTAAATGATAAGCGCGACATTCGATCGGCTTGCAATCGCTAAGAGCTACTACCGATACTGTTATGGGTACGTAAATGCCGTGTGAGACACCTTCTTGACTGAAAATAAATGAAGAATCAAATATTGTTAATAAGTTTTTATTAGATTTGCATTTAGAAGTCGCTTTCTTAAGAACTGTTTTCACCAATCATGATTTCCTTTCAATATTTCAAAATTTTTTTTCTATTTCCTGTTCATATTTTAAACCTTTCAGAACCAAAAGCCAGCTAGTTAGTTAGGTATGCCTTGTTACTAAAAGAGTTAATTATTAATATTTGCCTGTTTATACTCACTCATCTAAATCCTTTAAGTTGCTATTATCAATCTGCCATATAGCTCCATATACACAAGAGCCCTTCTTGGGCACAATTGTTGCCGGCGCTCCAAGCCAAGTACGCGAGCTAGTAAAAAAATCGAGTTGATAATCCTATGGGAATGAAAAGAAAGTGAAATATCAAAACCTAGGTAATATTATGTAATAAACATATCAATTACTTCCAGCTTCCCTGGACCTATCCGCACTGCTGTTGGATTTTGTATGTGTATTCTCTTGGCTAGTAAATTGCTCCCGAAGCCGAAGTAGTAAAACTTTGAAGTCATCTGGAAATACCAAGACGGAATTATTATATTCGGCGTTGACCAAAAAAAAACGGAGAATCCAAAGTAGCGGTCGTAGCAAGCTCTGAAAAATTTTGGCGAGTAATCTCTAAAGATAATAGCAGAGAACATTTAAGAACTTAATAAACTTAATAAAGAACTTAAAAATAATAAAGAACTTCTTAAATGTTCTCTGAATATAGAAGGTGCAAATTTTTTGAACGTAAATTTGTTTGGCTGAANAACAAAATATTTCCGCTCTTGGCTTAAGTTGACGTGTTGAATAACCATTGATGATTTCTTACGGTAAGTTAACTTAAGTTAAGTCTGGACTAACTGAGCTTTAATAATAATAAAGAACTTCTTAAATGTTCTCTGAATAGAGAAGGTGCAAATTCTTTGAACGTAAAATTGTTTGGCTGAGAAATAAATTCATGGAATATCACCACAGCGCGATTAACATTTCAACAAGAGTTAACAGAGAATAGCCATGTCCGTCTGTCCGTCTGTTTGTATGCAATCTAGTCTCTCAGTTTTCGAGATATCCGGATCCAATTTGGTAGGTGGGTGTATTTTTAGAATGTAT